TATATATATATATATATATATATATATATATATATATATATATATATATATATATATATATATATACACAGTGGCGTAGGAAGGTTTTTAAATGTTTGTAATAACAAACTTATAAACAGCAAGAATATTTTGCCCAAAACGTGAGCGCAACAAGTTTATGAAATATTTTTTGTACTTTTTTCAACTATACTTATATTCATCGAGAAATTTTAAATTTGATAGTAAAATATTTTTGTGTTCAAAAATTATGACCATATAAAGTTTAAACCTCCTTCAATTTGAGGGGGTTGCAAACTTTATATGGTCATAATTTTTGAACACTAGACGCTTGGGGCAGGGTGGAAATTTTAAATTTACAAAAAAATTAAATTGCTTTTAAAATATATGACTTATGTATAAACATTTTTTTTTTGTAAGAGATATATTAAAAAAGTTGAAATTTATTTTTAAACGTGCGAATAGACTAAAATAAGGTATAGTCTATTCACACGTGCGTGCGAATAGACTCACCCAATAAAAAACTTTAAGTTATTAAAAAATACAAAAATAACATTTTTTAAGTTTTCTTAATTGATGTTGTAAAACTGTCGTGTATTTTTGTGTATTGTTTATAATGTCGTGTGTTTTTGCTTATTTTTTTATTTTGTCGTGTATTTCTATGTTTTGTTTATACTGTTGTGTAATTTTGTGCATCGTTTATTTTTTTTATTTTTTGTTTTTTTTATTTTTATATATAATTCGTCATTTATAAGCATTTTACAACGTTCTTGTTTTACAATTTTCATTAATAAAATTTAAATAAAAATTAATAACGACAGGAGTAAGTAGAAGACAGAGGTCTTGCCATCAAGCCATAAAGTACTGTTAACAAATTTCTCATTATATAAATTTACAAATACTCGTTATATAAAAACAAGTTAACACATTATTACAACAAGAATACCATAAATTGCAAAAGATAAATAATCAGATATACTAAGACAAGTACACTTGTGTATTGTGTATGTTATGCATTATTTTATTTTTTTCAACAATAAAAATAATTGCTAATTATTTTTTTTGTTGTTATGTTTGTTGCAAATATAGAAGTTATTTCTTATTTTTTGTCTCGTCATAATATTTAAAAATATCCTTTTTTTAAATTTTCTTCATTATTTTTATCATCGTTCTGATAGTCAAACGTTGTGTTATCTTATTCATTCGTTACCTATCGTATCAGTTTATTCACTTAAGTCTTTTTTTGTGTTATTTGTTTTTTTTAAATATTTTTCTTCTTCTTTATATTTTGTTTAATTTTATTTTGGTCGCTATCTATATTAGGGGAAAGGCGCCTATGATGGCATACTTAACTTTGAAGCTTCATTATTCAGTATCCTGAAGACCAATAATAAAAGTTTTGATATAGATATATTCCTTGTTACATGTAGAACAATATAACCCTTTGAGTTTTCATCAGTTTTATTTTTTATAGGTTATTCCTATTTACAAGTATGCCATCATCGGCAACCACTGCTCCTATGATGGCATGGGGGAGGACGGGGCTGCTTAGTATTAAGGGTAACTTGATAATTTCATTTAACCTTAGAGTCTTTCCTCAGAAAAGCCAAAAATTATTCGGAACCATCCTAATTTACCATTTCATGCTACACAGCAGCAAAGTAAAGTTTCGCGCATGCGCATAGGATATTTTGCGTTTTAGGTATTTTTTAGACCAAAAAAAAACTTATGGAGCATTACTTTCTTTTAACTTTACTTAAAAAAAATCCAACTCGTCAATATTGCAACACGCGCAACTCGTCAGTATTCCATCATCGAAGAAGTTATCATTTTCATTAAAACAAGTCGTGTCTGCCTAGTTTAAAAGATAAAATTAAAGTAAGTATTCCACTAAATGCACAAAACTTAGATATAAAATGCATGAAAATTCCCTTTCTGCACAGTTAATAATAAAATCACAATTTTAAATATATGAAGGGAAAAAAACTACAACAACACATCCCAAAATCGATTTTTGTTGATTATAAAAACAAAATTTGTGCACAAGAGACGTATTTTCAATAAAACTAATTTAAAGCCAATATAGTTATGTAGGTCTAATCACTTTTTTACCAAAACCATTTTTTTTGGAAATATGACCGGTATGCCATCATAGACGCTATGCTATCATAGGTGCCTTTCCCCTACTTTTTTTTTGTTTTATTTGTTTATTTTATTATGGTATCACTCCAATGACTAGTTTTTAACTATATGTGTAATACCGAACCTAATTTTGTGAAATTGTAAATTTCTTTATAACTATTTCAATTTTATGGTTAAATAAATGGATAAATTACGTAGATAGCGAATCAATTTTTGTAGGTACGTGTTTAAATACATCGTTTACAACTTTAAGAATTTATTTCTATAATTTCATGACAGGATTCGTACCATCGCTAATATAAATAATTTTGTATTAAGCTGTGTTAAGAAACATTTTATTACCATCGTATCATTATTAAAGACAGTCTGCTACTTCTTGTGGAAGTGAAGAGTTTTTACCAATTATAAATGCCAAAATATTATTTGCATATTTCTTGTTGATAATACCAGTCAAGAGATTTTATATCTTTTACATAGATAGACACTTCTTTGTATCACTCCAGCACATCTTTCCATTAGACTTGTTGTTAAATACAACTTGTTTTTTACAATTTGAAAGCCTTTTTAGAACTTAGGATGATAACCAAAGGCAGTATGTTAATCTCAAGTTTGCGCGTGATAACAATGTGGTCACGCTTTTGCAAAATCAAACAAAAAAGCTGTTAGTGAGATATTACGTTTTGCAAGGATACGTTCAACTGATTTGCGTGTTGCAGATGTTATAATATTTGGTCGGTTATCGGTTGGTACGACGGGTACCACTTTTTAGAATAAGAATGAAATTTGCATAAAGCTATTTAAATGGTAAAACATATTTATTAGTACAATGAACAAAATTACCAACTAAAGCTGCAACCAGTTCAAGGCGTTTAGCATAAAGCAATATATTGGTAGTTATATGGTAATAGATTGTATTTCACTAAAATATAATTTTGGATGCATTTAAAGATAAGGTCTTTTGCCATGTTGATGTAAGCAATACTTTTAGACGTCAATAAGTTTTACCTTTTTTATCTATTTATTCGAACTATTTAAAGATAAATCCTTTTGTCACATCAAAGATTACACTATTTTTAGCATTTTACGGAACAAACTTCAAAAACGCAAAAAAATACGAGATACAATTTATTGCCACGTTACTACTGATATATATCTTTAGCAGCAAGAAATATTAGTGTAAAAATGGTACGATATTGGGTATCTTACAAATATTAGAGCAAAATTGGCATGCTAATACTTTACAATATTGTTACGCCAATATTGGCGCCATATTGTTTACCATTGTTGGCGCAATATCACATACCTTGTCCGATATTGGAAAATGTATTTCCAATATCTGACAAGGTATGTGATATTGTGCCAATAATGGTAAACAATATTGCGCCAATATTGGCATAACAATATTGTAAAGTATTAGAATGCCAATCTTGCTCTAATATTTGTTGTCCAATATTAGAATGGCAATATTAGGGGCGCATTGGCATGTTCATATTGATCAATATTAGCTGTTTGTATTGGTCAATATTGGTATGCCAATATTGCCGCATTAGCTTTAATAATGACATTTTCACATAGTTGTATGCATGCGTAGCTAAAATTGTAAATAAATATAGTTGCAACATTTATTGTTAAATATGAGCTTTTATTGGATTTTTAACTGCAGTAATCTAAAAAATGCGAGAAAGTATTTTATAAAATTTCGACTTTATATAATCATTTGACAAAGCTTCTCATTTCAAAAATTTAGATCTAAATAAAGAGTATAAATTAAAAAATAAATTAGTCAAAAAACTTGCAAAGATTACAATAAAAAATTTGCAACAGGACTGAAAATTAATCCAAAAGTAAATTTATGCTTATGTTAAGGAACAACTTCAATTGAAAACAATAAAAAATCAACCGACAGTCTGATCAGATTTTTCAATTCTGTATCTATAAAAGAAAGGTTTACTAATATGCCTACATGTGAAAGTATAACAGAATAAAATGGTCCATTTTATTCCCATTATTTAATGAGAAAGATATAAAAAAACGATTATTAAATTTAAATGTGCACAAGTTTCCAGGTATTCATAATATTTATCCAATGTTTTTAAGTAAATGTGTTAACAGTTTTGCTAGACCATTCTGTAAAATTTTTTCAAACATTTTAAACTTAAAAAATGAATAGATTAAATTTTAAACTTATCAAATGACGAGTACCCGTCAATTAAAAATGCTACCCGGGCAATATTCAACGTGTAAGTAAGGACCGGCGAATATTCGTTAAAATTTGGATTACGAAGTTTACTGAAAAGCGAAGTTGTCTTCAGCTTCGACTTCAGTGCCGAAGTTGAAATAGAAATTCGGTTTTCAGTTAAATTCGGTAACAACTTCAAAATTTCATTTAGCTTTCACTTATATTCGCAAGCTATAAAGTTTTTTTCAATTTATAAAGAAGAAGAATTATGAAATTTTTTATATGTTTTATGTATATCAACCTGTTTGTATTGGTTACAACCCTCTTTAAACTCTTTAACTCCAAAAAGTGTTTCGGAGTTAGAGAGTTTAGAGAGGGTTGTAACCAATATAAGAAGTAGCTTCCTTGACTAAAGTGGTCCACTCAGCCTTGGGAACATGAATTCAGTGAAAAAAAAAAAAAAAATTTGACTTTTTAAATTACTTAATTTTTTGAGGCAAAAATTTTTTTTTATTGCTTCACAAAATAAAACACCCTTCCTACCCAAACCGTCACAAAATAGCTTACCCTCCTATGGCGTAACGTAATTTGTAAAAGACCCCTACACATTTAATTTAAAAATGTTTGAAATAAAAAGTTTTTATAGTTTTAACTTTAAGTTGACCGAGTCGACACGGTACAAATAACGTGACACTTTGACTGTATTAAGGCAGGGGTGGCGCAAAGGATAGGTTGCTAGACTCCACATTCAAAGGTTTGAAGTTCAAATTTTGCTTTATTTGCAAAAGAATCTAAGTGTAAACAAAAACAGTACTTTACAAAATTGCTATTCATAAATAAATCGTACTGAATAAGCTTAAAGTGTTTTTTTTATCTTATAGCAAAAAGAATAACTATTTAAAACTTTTATATTCATATTTAAATAAAAAATAATGGAAACCATATATTTGTATTAGTTCCGAATTTAAAATACTATTAATATAAAATTATATATTTTTATTAACTTATATAACCCTGACTAATACGCTTCTTATTCGCCGAAAGTTTGAAATTTTGTTTATCAATTTAAAAATAATAGTGTCCATTTTAATATAAATGCGTTAAAGTGGAATTCTTATTAAGTTTTATTATGCGTCTTTTACATAACAAATATTGGGTAGTAAATGTTGTATTAATATTTATACTTTAATTTTATCATAAGTATATCTGAAATTAGATAGTTGCAAAATAAGTGGGTTTTCCAGTTTCAAAGAAATGACCTTTGCTTTTATCAAATAAAAAAACTATTTAAACCTTGGATTATTGCATAATCCCTATGTATATTCATAAAGTCTGAGTTGTTGTTGCTTTATTATTATTATTATTATTGCTATTATTGTTGTTGCTTTATTATTATTTTATTATTTTTATTGCTATTTTTATTGCTATTATTATTATTATTGTTATTATTATTATTATTATTATTATTATTATTATTATTATTGTTGTTGTTGTTGTTGTTTTTGCTATTATTATTTTAATTATTTTATTATTTGTTAAAATATTTGAAATAGATTCAAATGTAAAGTATTATATATTTTATACTAAAAACGTGTTAATTTCGATAATCTTGTTTTAAAACTTTTGTAAACTATAAGAATTACTATTTTTTTGCAAAAAGCGAACTATTTTTTGTTCTTTTTAATTTTGTATTAAATTAGTTTCAATTGTCTTAAAATATTATGAAGAGCATCATTTTGTTTATAACTGAAGTTATTGTTGCTTTTATTTGATGAAAGTTTGCACTATTGCTTAATTTTAAATAAATTGCTTCAGGGAGCTTGGTATTTTGTTCACAAAAAATTACCAAGCTTGATCAATTTTTGTTTTACTCACATAATTATTGTATTTTCTGAAATTAGGGCCTCTAATTGAAAATTTTTCCAGCCAATTCAATTTCTAAAAAGATATATGCTTGATTGGGTACAATTTTGAGCCTTGAACAATAAGGAAAGTTAATAATGAGGTACAATATTGAGCCTTGAACTATAAGAAAAACTAGAAATAGGCACTGATGTTTGTGAAAAAAAGCAACATAGTATATTGTGATAATGGTTAATTGTTAATTATTAGTTTATATTAGGCTAATATTAGTTTATTGTTATACTTGTTATGATAGTTGGCGTTATTTATTACTGCTAGTCATAAGCTATTTTTGTATATATTACGCCCTGAAGAATTTTTGTTTATGTATATAAGTTATTAATAAAATTTGAAAAAATATACAAAAAATGTAAACAAAGTTGTTGTATTAACATATATAACTTTAGATCTACATATTTGGTCAGTAATATTAGTTAATGAATGTATAATAATAATTAATATGTTTTATTATTTGATCCAAACATTACAAAAGCAACAGTTTTTGCATTCCAGTGGCATTTGTTGCTTCAACTTGTTTTTCTGCCCAACAGCCTTGTTTTTCAAGGTTCGTGTTTCGGAGTTATAGAGTTGAAAAAGGGTTGTAACCCTAACTAAAGTAGCCTCCTTGAATCTAGTAACCTTCATGTTCTTGAGTAGGTGAATTATAAAAAATAAAAAAATAAAATAAAATTAAAAGTATTCAGCAAATAAGGCATCAACTTTCTTATCCCTTTTTTTTTAATAGTAAAGAACAGTATAGAATTTACTAATGTACTGATTAATTGTTATAACATAATTAGCCAGTTTAGACTTAATTGATATTTTATTTTGCCTTTTTTTATTAATTTATAGAATTTTCTGCTGATTGTTGTTATTTTTTGATTAATAATTTAAAACTATTTTAATATTTACTCTTTATTTCAGTTAAATTACAATTACTTGAGTTGCATAAACCTAACTCATGTTTTTAATTTTGCATTAACCTGACTCTTAGTACATTATAATTTTCAAGTTTTAAAATACTTATTTTTAACTAGATAGTTAAAAAAAAAAACAATGAATTATGTCATAATAAAATCTAAAGAATATCTGTCCAAACCCAAACCCTCAATTAATGTATAAACTGGAGCCTACACAGATCACTATTTCAGTATGGCTTTATCTATGATGTTTCATAGAAGGCCAAACGTATAAAGATATATATTTACTTCTAGCACATTTAGTACTTAAATAAAATATGTAAATTTTTAATTTTTTTGTAACTACATTATGTGGTTGATTTATACACTCGTGTGTGCTCAAACACACGCACAAATACACACACACATATATATACTTACATTTTATAATTGACAATCATTTTTACTAGAAAAAATCATACCCTAAGATTTTTTATCAACATGGTGGATGTAACCGAAACACCATCATCAATTGTGTCTTTATCATTATGGGCAGTAAAGTTTGTTGAATATGTGGAGTTCCATTTAAAGGTTTCTATTTTTGTCAATATATAATTTTAAAATATATTTCAAAAAAAAAAAAAAAAGATTTTTTTAACTATGAGAAACATACATAACAAAGCATCTCTATTGTAAGATTATAGATATGACACGTTTTTTTTGGTTTTTTTTGGTCATTTTTTGGAAAAAAAATGCAGGGATCCATTTTTTTGTTTTATTTTTGTTTTTTTTGCAAAATTTTTTAAAAATTCATTATTTAAGTTACTATATTTAACTTTAATGGCTATATCTTAATTCATATTTTATTTTCAGATTTAAATAGGACAATTAATACTGAAATTTACTGAAATTCTTTTTATTTTGGTATGCTTAGAAATTCTGATTCACTTCCAACAAGGCTGCAAACAACCAATGTTAAGTTGGGAGATACTAGGAAAAAAAAGAGTAGAGTTATAGAACAAGGAAATGGTTGACAGAAGACTTAAGAAATTGTAGGTTGTATGAGTCAGATGAGAGAGAGTTCTAAAAGGATTGAAATTTATTAATATAGGAATGTTGACAGTATTGCGATAGTTGTTTGCAGTAAATAACTGAGTTATGTTGGAGTTAAAATTTAAAAGCCAATATAAGCCTTAATCTGTTGCAGAAATGAGATCAGATTCAAGATCAGCTGCTTGTTTAAACAGATCAAAAAGAGAAGACTTTTTGTCAAGACAGGAGTATAAAGTTAAATTATCAGCTAAAAGAGCTACTTTAGATATAAGGTTGTCTGAAAGATCATTAATGTAGATAAGAAACAAAACAGGACCAAGGATAGAACCTTGAGGTACCCCAGATGTTACTGGAAATGAAGAATAGTGTTGGCCTTCTAGAATGACTTTAATAAAGCATTTAGAAATAAGTGCTTTGATATTAGGCCCTTACCTAAAAAAAAGCCTTATACTGAACTTAATTTCATGGAACATTTAGAAATTTTGAATTATTATTTATTGTGTTTCCCAGACCACCTTCATCTGATGATTCATAATTTAATTATTAATAGTTTATTTTTGTATCTGAATTTTTTTTTCTAATTATATGATTTATTTATCTAGATATTTTCAATATAGTACTATATCATGACACTTGCAAAATTTTTTAACATGCTTTGTTGTTCAAGTTCAATTTTCAAGTTCAATTTTCATTTTTTGTTAACTTGGTTCAAAGCAAGGTCTTCTTTATTAGAAGGCCTCGACACCGTGCGGGAAATTATTTGACTGAAAGCCGATTAAAAAAAATAAATGGCGGACCAGTATAAGTTATATAGCTTTGCTAAGATTAAACACACTCAAATTGTTAACAGTCTGTTTAAAAAAATTCCTAATTTCTTATTGCAAAAATAGTTTATTGAGGTTAATTTATAACTTTTAAAAGTAAAGTAAAAATTAAATAAAAATATTTTCAATTGAGATTTTCAATTTGAAAGATATAATAAGTAATATATAAAAAAAGACAAAAAACGTTGTACTAAATAGAAAAAAAAAACGTTTACATAAACTTAATTTCTTTGAGATTAGTTTCTTTATTACTTTTAGGGGTGTAAAGTAATGCAAAGTTCTTTAAAAAAATGTTTGTCAGTATTTGGCATTGCTTCTTTGAAATAGAAAATTTGTAGAATTTTGCAATAAATGTAAACTGTTGAATCAGAAATGTTCTGCAAATTATTTTATCTAATAAAGAAAAAAATTATTTTATCTAATAAAGAAAAAAATATATAACAAAATAAGGACCATTCAGATGGAATAGTTAGTCCTCCCCTATTTAAAGTATTTAAATAACTTCCGTATTTTTCATAATATTTAATTGTATCATCTCCAATTTCTTCAGGGGAACACTTTTGAACAAAAATGTCTATATTTATGCTATCTTCTAGATCTGCTAAATTGTAAACAATATCAATTTCCCTATCATCTAAATCTACAAGACATAAAAGACATTATTTCCTTCTACATCAATATTTAGCTGCAGCACCAGCTTAGCATGCTGAATAGCTACTTTTTCATTAAGTGATTTAGCGGTTATAAAACAATTACCACCTGATCGTTGATGTAATTTTCCAAAGCATTTTTCAATCGGATCAGAAGAAAATTAACCTAAAATTACATATTTATTTCCAATTGATAAAATATGGCAAGATAAATCAATTAGACCACGACAGGTATGTGAAAGTGCATTGCTTTTATCTTTTGCAAGCTGGCGAACTCGTTTACCAGATATTGGTTTCATATTTTCAGCCATTGTTGCAATAGCAGGCTTGGACAGGAATGGCTTGCGATCGAGCGCTATTGCTGACCACGCAAATGATTTTTTTTCTTGACAACTTGATCACAATTGTATATATGTATAACTAGGAAAAATGTTAAAAAAAAAATAATGAAAAAAAATTCCTAAAGAAAAAAGAAGTGAAAAAAATTCTTTACAAAAAAGAAATTATATAAGCACTATAATAAAAATAAAAAATAAAAACTTTAACTCCAAGCAAAACTTTTTTTTACGTTTTTAATCGTGTTTGAAATAAATCTTTTAAAGCTCTTTATTAAAGTTATGCAAAACGCTTTTAAATTAACAAATTACTACTAACGATTATTTAATAAATGAACAATTTTTGTCAAATTTATTAAAAAGTGTTGTATTTAATATTTTTGAATTGTATAAACATTTATATTTTCAAAAAAGTTGCAAAAAAATATTGTTCAAAAAAATAATGTAATTTAAAATAGTAATTTTTAATAATTTCATGCTCTAATTAATAAGTTTAGTTAAAAAAAAGGTTTTTAACTCTTTTAACCGTAAAAATAGGAAAAAAATAAATAAAATGCGTTTGTGATTTAAATTAAATAAACTGCCAACAAGCAAATTTAATTAATTTTAATTTGAGCATTGTAACTTTATTATTAAGCGCTTCACTTAACGAATTTAAAAATGATTATAAATGATTTCAACTCATTCATTCCTATTGTAATTAAAAAAAAAAAAAAAATTGTTTTTCAAAAAATAAAATGTTTGTTTAAAAAATTGTAAAAAAATCGTAAGTTATAAAAATTAATCAAATGAACTTTACAAAATGCTTCAAAACTTTTTCATTAATCTAAAAAATACATGCTTATATTAGTAAATAAAGTTATTTTATATTCTTGTATAATTCACATAAAATGAGTAAAAGCTAGTTATTGCTAAAGGTTTTGAACTTATTCATAAATCAAAGAACTTATTCATAACTTAAAAAAAATCTTTCTAAAATTAATGCTTTGAAAGATTTTTAGGAAGACATGGAAAAATAGTTTCAAACGTTTGAGTTTATCATACCTACACAAAAAATAAATTATAAAAACATTTTTTATTAATTTATACACGGTGTTTATGTAAATAATCATTTAAAATATTTAAATGATTTTGATTTAAAGCCTTTTGCATAAAATAAAAACTTTAAAAAAGTTTACCGATTAAAAGATATTCATAACGTAACAATTTTCATTGCATTTAAATTGTTAAAACATCAAATTAGCCGTAGTCAAGTTGTAAAGAAAAAAAAATATTAGCGTGGTAAGTTACAGAGTGTCATTGCACACCATTCCTGTCCAAGTCTGCAATAGCAAACAATTTTTTTAAGTTAACGTCATCTAAAGATCTGATTACATTCTGGGACTCATCCCTTAATCTAAGAGTAGCACCAGGACATTTAACATTAACTATTTTCCAAAAATCTATAATCAACTCCAAAAAAATAATAGTACCCTTGACACTTTCTTGGTCTATTTTAGGATGAGTTTTTAGAGCTGCAACTGTCTCTTCACTAAATACTTGCAAACAAGTACTTACTTTTTGTTGTTCTATTGGTTTAGGATTTATTGATGTTTCAGTCAACTTAGATAACTTTAATAATTGGGTTTTTTCAAGTGTATATAAGTTAACTAAATCTCTCCAATTTGCAATGTAAGATATTTCATTACGAATAAACTGTAACTGACCTAACTTTTCTGTCAGCTATTTATTTCTAATGCACTTTAAAAGATGGATATAGTCATATAAAATATAAGTTCCATTTTGACATAACCAAGGTTTTTCATCTACTGTTTTGAATTTAGAAAAAAACCTTTGGTTAACTTTATTACCATCAGTAATTGCATAAACTACTTTGCCATTACATATAGAATTTTCTTAGTTAAAGTTCGAATACTTGGCAACTGATAATCACAACACAATTGATTGTAAGTAAAACAACTTATTGCAAAATATTCAAAAGCCCTGGTTATTATATCAGGCCTTGTTAAAAAGCGTTTCCCTACTTGAGTTTTACGTACGTATTCACGGTTTCATGTACATGTTTTGCAATTTATGTTTTGCAAAAACTTTTTTCAATAGGTTTATTTTAAACAGTCTTTTAAAACAGATTAAGCGGAAAACATTAAACTGTAATTAATTGTTGTAAATAAACGTTTGTGGAATATTTTTTTTTTATTAGATAAAAGAACAGATAGATATCCTTTTTTCTATTTTCCGTTTTTTTAAAAAAATATTTATAATTTATTTTATTAAATTTGAATTAATTTTATTATTATTATTATTCATAATTTTAGTAATTTATTTGATTAAATTTAATTAAAATTCTTTTAAAAATTTAAAAACACTCCATTTTACAATTTTTTTACTGATAAAATTTCAAAAATTTATGTTAATGAAAAAAAAAAAATTAATAAATTTAATTCAAGTAACTTTAAAATGCTCACATTACTTATAACTTCATTTTAATTTCAGTTAAGTTTCAGGTAAGTTCCAATTCTAAATACTAGTCTAAATAATGCGCTTTTGTAGTTAATAAATGATGTCATACAAAAAAGTTCTATCAAACTCGAGTTTAAATGTTTTATGGGTTTTCCCTTTGCCGTTAAGTTTTATGCAGTAGAATTTTTTTTATAAAACGAACCAAAATTTAAACCGATTAAAATTAATGCAATCAATAAATAAACTCTTTAAAAGTCCAACTTATATTTATTTTGTTTTAAAAACAAAACTAATACTAGTGCAATAGATATAAGATACGTAAATTTTAAAATTATACTGATAATTGTTAAAAACAAGTTCTGCTAATAACATCTTATAACCGAAAATTCTATTTTTCTTTTTGGATTTATAAGAAATAGTAAAAATACTTTAGGTTTCATGGTACATAAAAATAAATTTTTTTAATGGAAATGAAAAAAAACACAGCCGAAAAGCTGTAATCTTTGTTTTATTACAATTTTTAATTTAATCAAAAGCCAGTTAACGCTAATACCATGTTCACACTAGCGATGTTCGGCGGAACATTATTCCGGAACAAATGTTCCTGGAAGAAAATGTTCCTGGAACAAAATGTTCCACAAAATGTTACTTGTAGCGTTCACATGTAAAATTGGCTTGACGGTACATAAAAGAAAAAACGAGTAAAAAAACGGTAGGTAAAACTCGAATAAAAATTAGTGACAAACAGTTTGGCAAATACACATTGTTAATATAATTTACTAATTTTTAATATTTAAACATTTATGAGAGGTAAAACTAAATACAAATAACGCTGAGGGTTTAGCTAGCTCAGAGTTAGACAATAAAAACCCAACCCAAAATACCCGCCATACAAAAGGTGACATTGGAATTTTGTTATCTCGTTTTTTGGCTTTTATGGATAGGTCATATCTCCTTTAGTCGCTTTTGACGACACAGAATAGTAGTCCATCAGTGGTATAGTACCAAATAAACATATTATACATTAATATGTTACCCACAACCAGTTAAAACTAATCTCATTTTGTGTTCATACATATTTAATATTTATTTATTTAGACACATTTGATAACCTCAAGGAAAGTAAGTTTAGTTCAAAACTACTAAATACATAACCATATTACAGCTAAAGCTTTAAATAATAAATAATATTATTACTTCACTTGTCCCTTTCATAAAGGTATTTATTAATTGAGTCATGAACATTTTTTCCTGGTCCATTGTTCCCAGTTGTAGAAACTGTATTGGGTTGAGCTAGACTGTCATCATGATGATGCATAAGCCATTCTATTATAATAATATCGTCATAATATTCACAAATGTTTTGAAGAGTGAGGCAAGCATTAACAATTCTTGTAGCAAAGTTAATATCGCATTCCATACGTTTGCAAATTACACGGAATCGAGCTTTAACTCGCCCAAAAGCATTCTCAACTACTCTTCTAGCTCCGCAAAGTATTTTATTGAAATTTTTTTGAATTTCACTATTTTCCAAATTTTCAGGATAAGGTTATAACAAATGACGCATTAAAGGAAATGCTCAATCACCTATCAAACATAGCGGAACAAGAGAATCACCCAGCTCTTTGCAACATTTATCAAATAGATTTGATTCTAAAATTGCTTTCAAAGAAGAATTCTGCAAAATATAGCTGTCATTATTTCTACCAGGTGATCCAACACTTGTATAAATGAAACGGTATCGACAGTCTACAACGGCAAAAAGTACAATGGAATACCACCCTTTATAATTATAATAAGAAATTGCTTGATCTTTAGGGGCTGAAATAGGGATGTGGCATCCATCAACAGCTCCAACGCATTGTGGAAAACCAAGAATAGGTTCGAAATCTCTACTATGTTTATTTAAATTTTCCACTGACAAATTTAACATATTTAGGGAGCAAAATGTCATTAACAGCATTAATAAATTCATGAACAATTAAATTTGCTGTTGACTTTCCTATGCCAAAAAGGCTAGACACAACACAATACTCTTCACATGAAGCTAGATAATGTAATGCAACTGCAACACGTTTTACTACTGAAATAGGTTCTCGCATAGTTGTGGTAGTTTTACCTAAATGTGGATGCAATTCATTAACTAGGAAATTAAATGTGTTATGATTTACTCGAAAATGCTCTTTAAATTCACATTCCTCAATTTGAGTAAAAATCTCATTAAACCATTGAGAACTCTTCGGCCTAATCCAAACTTTTCTTTCAATCAGATACCCTTGTTAACTTAACTTAAAGGAAGCTAAATCTAAATATGAAAATGGGTGGGTGATTGATTCATCATAGATTAATGTTCTACTTCTTGATCAAAGTATGGCCAAAACGCTTTCCATGTTTTTCCAATAGCTTTTTCCTTTGCAGATGTCTCCCTAAAAAGCTATTAAAACTATATAAATATATTAAATAAATATAATACTTATTATACTACAATTCAAGGGAAATTAAAACGCATTTTTAAAAACCATTTTGTTAGAATTGATACAGCATGATCTGTTAACAAAAACAAAAATGAAACATGTAATGCAATTTGTATAAATTAAAAACAAAACACATTGGCAAAAAACATATCATTATAATTCATCAACAGGCTTGCTTCATATCGCAAAAAAAAAATTATTTGGTAAAAATACTAAATATATATAGCATAGAGATACAAAAAAAGGTATTTATAAAATAACATGACAAATTTAAAAAATAGAAGAAAAATTTGTTTTTTTATTTTTTCTCATCGGTTCAGTTTTTGCTATTTTATTCAAAGTTTTTTGATCATCAGAGTTCCTTCGTTTATTGCAGCCTGGTGTAGATTGAGTTGGTTCCTCATCAGGAATAGTGACAATTGATTGCTCATCATTTGTATCATCAAAAGCTTCAATATTTAAAATACTGACAGTCTCCTTGCCATCTTCCATTGTGGCAATCTGTAAATAAAATATACACATTAAAAAAATTACACATTTGAGAAATGATTATAAATCATGTTTCAATCAAAATTTATCTCTTAACTTTAAAAGACTTGACTTGAAGTCATTTTACTCCCTTCCTTCCCTAAACAAAAAGGATCTATTTAGACAATAGCATTTTACAAATTGATCTAGCCAATATTAAAAGATCCCTTTTATAATTCAAAAACTTTATATTATATGTTTTTGATCTTTATGTTTTAAGTCTGCTAAATGTTGCAAAACTAAGAACCTCTTAAACCTTATTTTGCAGAAATAGCTAACATGCTTGTTTATATTACTTTAAAAAATATATAGCACTTTAAAATATACAAAAGTAAATTATACTAAACTTACCTGACCATCTTGAAAATCTTGAGTAGAAAAGTTTTGACTTTGAGATAAAAGGTCATTGTCAAGGGAAGCTTCACTACCTATTATTTTGGCAACAATATCGTAAGGCCACCATTTACTAGGAGCTCCTCCCGATGAATCAACTTGAAGTTTTTCTCGTCTATGAAAAATATACATGAATATAAGTAAATATAAGCACATCATTAACACTGTATAACATTAATCAAATAACTTTAAATGGACAAATTATTATTAACGAAATAATTATTTACAAAATTAACGAATTATTAACAAATAATAAAATAACGAATTATTAACAAAATAATTATCAATGAGCTGTAAATCTTCAATACTGAAAAAGATTTAAGTAATTTTTAATATAACACTCAGTTACAAACTAAATTACAATTAGATATTATTACACATGGTTAGTTTTGTAAAATACTTTCAGTATTTCAGTAAGGTATCAAACATTAAATGTAGAATATGTACATACCTAAATTGTTTCCTCAAATTACTAATTTTATATTGAATTTGATATCCAGTTAACAGAGGTACGATATTAAATGTGTTTGAAAATTCAGCTGCCATTTGTTTGTAAATATTTGTGTTTCTTCTTGCAGATGTTAATGCTTTGTTATTATCTTTCCATAAATCTAATAATACTCTTGTGTTAGCCATATTCCATACACATTTATTTAAAGGAGATGTGCAAAGACCAATATTTGTTGTGTTAGCGTCAATACACTCTTTTTCTGAATGCTGAGACATTGTGTAAAATTAAAGTTTTACCTACTAAAAAGGATAAGTACATTGAATCTTGCAACAATAACAACAACAACGACAAAAAGAAGAGAAACAGTTAATAATAAAATTAAAGGTTAAATTTCATAATTGCTATAAATGTTATGGGCTTAAAATAATTTATTAATGTTATGGGCTTACTAAATAGTTTAATAAATTGCCAAAAACTGGTAGCCAAGAGAACAGAAACTTTCAGATGCTACTTTTACTTTTTTTTACTTTTCCATGCAATGTGATAATTATGTTATTTAATAACATTGATCTTTCAACACTGTTTATTTTTATTTTTAAATGTCAATAATTGTAGTACATTATGGCAAAGATATAAGGTACAGTCATATCAATACAGTCAATCAATAATATATATTCTGAATAAAGGTCTTACTTTCACAATTATTCACAAACAGTAAATTAACTAATATTAAGTAAATATAGAATATTTTTGAGGAAAATACTAATGGTAATGTTCACAAATTAAAATAACAAGATAAGACAAAGCTAATATAATAAAATATATATGACATATAAAAAAAATATATGACAAAGCTCATATATAACAATATATGCCAATAATAATATCATTAATAATATTAATATAAATAATAATAACAATAATAATTATTATTTTTATTATTATTATCACTGTTGGCAAGGCCAATGATAAACAACTCTGCTTATTAGTTCAAAGTTGAATTTTATAAATAAAATTACTATAAGTTTATTAAAAATGCATTAATAGCAATGCTTGCAAAGAATATAATTAAATAAAAACTATTAAACAATGAAAATTAAACTTTCTTAACGCAAGTTTAATGTTACCTTGAATTATACTTCTTGTTAATTCAAATTAAAACTGATCTTAATAAGAATAATACTGTCTTTGTAATGTTATATTTTAAGATTAAGTTTTTAAACACACATATATAACTTTTTTTTAAATTAATAATACACTAATAATTAAATTTCTATTCTAATTTTTAATATTGTTAAAAATAACTTGAAATTTGTGATGGTCAAATAATTGTTTTTAAATAATTGCCCACCATCTGGTCTACTCATGATTGATCCCACACGAGTGGGATCGGAATTTCCTTGGTTGCATGAAATTACCACAAGTTTTTACTCAATGAATAAAGATATGAAATTATATTCGAAGAAATGTTTTGAATTCAATAAAAAAGATGGAAGGCAAAAACTAAAAGTTTCAAGGCAACATGTTGAAAGGCAAATAGTATATCGATAATCTTGTCTTGATATATGACCAAGACCTAGGACAATGCAGAGATCAAGGACTAAAAACTCTGGTTAAGATGACAACAACTTTGTAAAAAAAATAGTTTAAGTTACTTTCACAACAAATTTGCATCTTGCAATCCATTTTTATTGAATCATTTAGCTTATATGCATACGTATATTTTAAAAATAGTTGAAAATAGGCACCATTTTTTATACAAAACCAAATAAATGTTCTGGAGCATTTATTTGTTCTGGGTTGGCAGGACGGTACAAAAGTTCCTCAAATGTTCCTTGAATTTTTGTTCCATTTGCGTTCACACGAGAGGTATATTTGTTCATGTTCCATGTTCCACGGAATGTTCCATCAAATGTACCCTCGTGTGAACAGCCTATAAGATTTTATAAAAGGGGGAAAACCCAATCTAACTGTAAAGTACACTTAAATCCCTTTAAAAAAATCAACCATAAACTAGTGTTCACTCATTTAAAAAAAATAACCATAAAAAGAATGTTTTAAAGAAAAAAAATTAAGTTTAAAATTTAAACTGTAAATAAGTATAAGATTTTAAACAAGGAAATTATTTTTTAATCAAAATTTAAATTTAATTTATAACTTTTTTTTATAACAATACTGTTTAATTTAAAGATATTTTATTTAAAAGACCTACAATAATTTCTAATGTGTTTTTGAATTTAATTACAATAAGGTATTTTAAAATACGCAATGGACACAATTAAACTTTTAACGATATAAAAATCTTTTTTTAATAAAGTTACATCAATTCAGGTTGCCTTTTTTTTTTACGCATCAAAATCTTATAACAAGGCCATTTATATCAGGTGAATATACAGTTAAGAAAACAGAATGATCTCCCATTAAATTTAGATGCTGAAATAAAATTTAGATATCTAAGAGCTTCATTTAAAGGGGACTTTGTATTAAATGAAGTTATTCTGTTTTTCGAAAGAGGTTTAACAGTACATTTTGAACCATAATGAAATGCTTTAAACATTAAACTTTGATTAATTATTAGCAAAAAAAGTGAAACCCCACAATTAAAAACTTTAGACTGGATAAAAATAGAATTGTTTTGCTTGTAAGGTATTGTATCATTTTCAGTAGATAAGCATTTTTCAATATCTTCAAACTTTAAATTACCAATTATTTTATACTCTTCTAATTCATCTTTTTCGATTCCTTTTTTTAAAAAAGAAGATAAAGTTTTTCTCATTTTTGGTGGTGGAGAGGATAGACAGCTTTTAGAGATATTTGGAAACATTGATGGAGGA